AATTGAAAAATTTCTTAATGTCATTATGAAAGAACTAGATTAACCCAAGTTAATTCACTTTATTGTTCAAAATAAAGAGGAATAAGCATTGAACTCACTTGCAAATTTGGGGCATGAATTAGGGGTGAGATGTTGTCTTTAAGGACTCTGCCAGTTTAATTAAGATATGGAAAATTACTTATTGTTCTTCACCACTAAAGTGCTAGGAATTAACAGCCAAATGTGATGCCTGTGCCTTTCATATCTCTACCATGTGTTTGTTTGTTTAATACCCATAAGACTACATCATTAAACCTCAAGCACTGATTTCACTAATTCAGCACTACAGCTACATGCTACAGCAGCAAACACCTTTTCTAGTCAATCATAATTGAACAGCTGGATGTAAAACACAATATTATTTTTAGGCTCGTATCTAACTTTGACTCCAAACCCCAAACAGTATTTTCCTCCAAAACAAAATACCTTCCTATCTTTGTAATGCGGCCACTAAATATAGCGAGAGCACCGGGATAGCGTGTGATATATTTTACCCACTTTATCAGTTCCTCGTAATTACAGATGCCACCGCGTGCTGCCAACGTTGTTGCCCTTCTCTCTTCTTCTGGGGACGATGGCTGCGTGTCGTGAAACGTAACGCAGGCTGTTTGTTTTTTCTTTAGGAAGTATTACTTAAGAGAGCAGCAGACCTTGTCGAAGCCCTATACGGGATGCCCCATAACAACCAGGTGGGTCACGAGCGCCGTCGTCACCTCCGCGCCCCGGCCTGTACGTCCGTCCCTGCTATTCGCGAGGCTGGCGGAGCACCAGCGCCTTCCCGGTGTAGGCAGCGGGGCTTTGCCGGGCTTTGCCGGCCACCTCGAGGGCGGTCCGATGTGATGCAACGCTCGCAGGGAAATGCTTCATCTTCCCGTTCTCTTCTCAGGGCTAGTTTGCCTATCAGAAATGACAATTAAGTGTAAGGTGCCAAAAGCATAAGCAATCATTAAGGCAAGAGAATAACCTTGAACTCGGGCCAAAATATACAGTGACTAATGGGGAGTCCTAAAGAAATCTGCTAAACAGAGCGGATAAAACATACTGTATTTTGCAAACTGCTGAAAAGACAGCTACTGCCCCGGACGAACGAAGTGCATGTTGCAGTTTTCTCATGACTTAACAGCACTAAACTGTAATTTTATGTTAATATTTTATTTCTTTGCACTGACTGCGTTGATGTGAAATTGCCTAGTGCCCCGGTACGTAGGAAGGAAAAGGGAAGGTGCAGTTGGGAGCAGCAGCAAAATCCCCACCCTTACCATCCTTTCACGTGAATCGCTCCCGTAACCGTTAACCTTATTGCAACGCTGAGTATTTGCGCGAATCAGTTTCTTAGTTGCCAGTGCTGGTTTTGTGTCTTTGTAGGAAATAATCCTGAAACGAGCGGCTGACATTGCTGAAGCGTTATACAGCGTGCCGCGCAATCACAACCAGATCCCCACTCTAGCCAACACTCCCGCTCACACTGGCATGATGGGAGTCAACTCCTTCAGCAGCCAGCTCGCCGTCAATGTTTCCGAAACATCACAAGCGAACGACCAAGGTATGTGGGATTTCAAGAGTTAATCCTTCACGTTGTTGACTGCTTTTGGCCGGTGCCTATTAGTAGGAGCTGATGTCACGGCTGTGTTCTACCTCTTTTTCTCCCCGTAGTCGTATGTCTGAGCGCGGAATGAAATGCCATCTTTAACTTTCTCATAATGTTTAATTCTTCCTGTTCTTTCGTTTACTGTTATCATAAAGCATCTCCAGTGATAAAAAAAATTGGCAAAGTGTAGAAAGCTCTTTATTATTCGCAGTAAATATACAACGTGTGTGTTTTTATATAAAATAATTATGTCTAGGTATCTCCACCTGGTTTTGGAATATTTACACAGATAAATCTAATTTGATGTCTGTGATTTTAAAAGACTGTTTATAGGCATGTGTGACATATATGTTACTAATAAAAGTAATAGTTGATTTAATTTACCTGTTGTAATTGAAAATGCATGTAGCATATTGCATTTAAAATTAATTTTGATACTAATGAAAGGAGGGAAACAGGATTATTAGATATGTTCAAACCCATAGTTTTTGCTTGCAACGTAATTATTAAATTGATTGCTCAGATAGGAACAAATTGTTGTTTAAAATCCTGATTCCGCTATGTTTCCTCTTCTAAAAAGATTCTCTTTTAATTCTTTTCCAAGCTAATAAGCCTTATAAAATTCTGTACTTGATCTTGAATTAGTTTTCACTGATGGCTACACATTACGAAAGTACGAGCTTGTTGCTAGTATAAAAATATCAATCATAAAACGAAGACCCCAAAACAGCCTTTTAAAGTAAATCACTGCAACAAAAAAGTTTTTCTTGTCAGCTATGGCATTTGAAGGTCTGGAGAGGCTGAAAGTTCATGCAGTGTGTTGGTACAAAGCGGGACTCGAGCCTGTTGATAATTGCTCCTAAAGACAAACGTGAAGGCACCTGACACAGCTGGATCGAAGAGAGCTTTTGTTGGCTGTCTGTGCTAAGAGGAGAGACAACATAGAGTGCTCGCGGATGATTTAAGTAGGGTTGGCGTGATAAGGTTATCTCAAACTGCGAGAGTTGATAGGGCAGTAAGAGACAACTTAGAGCAAAGCTGTGCAATCAATTAAAAGTGTGTAATATATGCTGCATGAGGAAACCCCCCAGCCCTAAGTCTATATTATAAAATAACATTATTTTTTTGGGGTGGGGGGGTTTCTAACACAGTAGGTTACAGTCGCAACACAAGCAGTGTTTCCCCGCGAGGATATGTTCCCAGCAGTACTCCTCAGCAGTCCAATTACAACACAGTCAGCAATAGCATGAATGGATATGGCAATGCCGGCATGCCCAATCTAGGTGTACCAGGTTCCCCTGGATTTCTTAATGGCTCCTCAGCTAACTCTCCTTATGGCAGTAAGTGTCTATTTTTGGTAACACATCATCATATAGATTCATATTTACTACAAAATCAAATACTTGCATTGTTTTGATTTCCTATATTGTGAGCTACTGGATAAAAGGAGGGGTGACTCTGGAGGCTGGACGTAAAAATGAATATAATAAATTGATCTGTTTGTGCCATAATACGATCTCAGATAGAAAAAAAAATAATAAAAAAAAATTGGACTGCGCAATTTGTAACAAAAGTCCAACACAAAAGAGTTTGCCTGTTATCCAGAGAGTGGCCAAGCCAAGGCATTTCATTTTTTTTTATATATATTTTTTTATATATATATATTTTAAGAGGCAAGGCCCTATCACTCTCTTTTTCCGTGTTTGCCGTGAAAACCTCAATCTGAGTCCTGATTATTTTTGCTTTATTGCAGTAGTGCCGTCAAGCCCTACCATGGCAGCCTCTTCGGTCACCCTCCCTTCAAACTGTAGCAGTACACACGGCATTTTCTCATTCTCACCTGCCAATGTCATCTCTGCAGTGAAACAAAAGAGCGCCTTTGCTCCTGTTGTCAGGCCCCAAGCCTCTCCTCCACCATCTTGCACCAGTGCAAATGGAAATGGACTTCAAGGTGAGCTGGATCTCTCTCGATTTTCTGTGTATTGCTTTTTTTTTGGTGCATACACTCAAGCCCTGGTCGTTTATTTTGGAGAACGGTACCGCGCTGTGTTTTTAGGTTTCTGGTGCTCTCATAGTGGTGCAAAAGCAGGAGAAGAAAGAGGGTAGCACGAACGGTATGCTGAGATTTTAAGCAAATCTTAGTTCACTTTTAATAGTTGCATTAGAGAAAACATGAGTTGTTTTTCTGGCATTTTCCCTTAGGAATTTGTGCCTGAAATTTTAAAGCGAGACTGTATCCCGGAATGCTTCTCGGAGCTTTTGTGTTTTCTTTGCGTTTATACATTTTCCGAACACGTTTCTACAGATGTTGAAAGCCAGCGGCATCCCAGCATAACGTGGCGCGACTTCCTCCTTTTACGTGTGGTGCAATACTTATTTTAAAACACGTCAAATTAGTCTAAATGGGGTTAAGCTCTTGCTCAGCTGCCTAACCTTCCCTGGGAGTAGCTAGCCGCTTGTGCCGTCAGTTTGCATGCTCTGCTGGTCCCGACTCGCTCTCGTACTGTGGCGTTGGAGTGGTTACTTCCCGAAATGAACAACCAAGTATTTTAATTAAGGCAGGCAATTTTAAGCTCCTACATTTTTCTAATCTGTGGGGTTTCGTGTGGGTCATGCAACGAACAGTTTGTAAATGAGCTGCAGAGTTCCCGTGGTCACCTGCTGGCGGTGGGGCAAGGGGAATCACGGTACAGTGTACCTTTGGTGGAGGAATAAATATAAGAACAAAGAAGTCCTCCTTTTTGTGGCATATCTTCAAGTTTGGAAGATGATATTGTCAGATGTATTAGAATTGTTGCAAATGTTTGTTTGCCTCTGATTTACCAATAACAAGCCTCGTTGCTCAGTGCGGTAAATTGAAGCCCTTCAGATCCCACAGAAATCAGGAAAGGCTGTGGGGATGCTCACCCCGGAGGTCGTCTCTCCTCTTGACTTTCTTAGTTAAGATGTAGGTAGTGCAGCGTTATTTATTCTTTGTGTTGCCGTAATATGATGAGCGCTCGCAGGCGAACAGATGAAGGCAGATATTTTGATTTTGCCAAACTAATTCTGGACACCTGCATTTCGCGGCATCTAGCTTAAGGTACTTTGGAGAGACATAATCCCACAGAACTGCCTGTCCACCAAAAATCCAGGCCATTTGCACCCAGGATCTCAGAATGGATGTCCTTGTAGCTTGTTATTAACTTCTTGGCCCAAAGAAGCATCCGAGAGCTTATTATGCGCTCAGGTCAACGAAGGGCTGAGGATCCAGCTGCACAAATCTTATTGTAGGATGGATGTTAAAGAAAAGGATAATTAGATTAACAATTTCTGTCGTTGCATATGTCTTTAGTGGAAGCTTTACTATGTTACTCTAAGTAGAAAACTATACCCAGTATAAGGAATATTCTTAGAAAAGATTATCCATTCATAAAATAATCCAGTGTCCTACTTTCCTCTTTTTATAAAAATACAGTAGTATAAAAAGTAAATACTAAAATAAAATAAAATAAAAATTACAGTTTAAAAAAAAATGTGGTAACACGTGGCTTAGATCTGAGGCAGCTCTTCTGTAGCTATTCTGTAGCAGGTAGTTATAGATATTCTCATTAACTTGTTGGGTTTTATTTACTCTGAAAAAAAATATTTAAATTTCTAAATCAAAATTATTGAATTTTCTGTAGTTTCGCTGTGTAAATAAAGGGCTTCCCGTCAGATGTTCAAGGTTTTAGGAGCTGCAAAGTGGGGTTTTCAGCCAAACTGGGCAGGGTAAATGCCTGCACTGAGCAGCCAGTCTCCCTTGGCACCTCCCCAGCCCCCAGTAACCACACATCTTCATCCGCAGGTACAAAACGCTTTTTGTGTAAGTGCCCGGTGGATGACTTCAAATCAACCAGCAGTGATTTTGTTAAATAGGTCATGAAGTTAGCTTGTAGGCTGAGACCCAGCCCTGCTCTGGACTAAGCTTTTTCCATGCCCAGAGAGCCCCACGAAGGCTTAACGGTCCCTTCAACCCCTGATTTTAGGATGCTGCAATCCAGGCGGCAGACCTGGTGTCACCCCGAGGAGGTCCAGCGCCCCGTGGGTGTTGCTGGAGCTGTAGGTTAGATGCCCCCGAGACCTGTGCCGCTGCCTCACTGCGCTGGCCCTACCCCACCCAGCACTCAACTTCTGAATCACGGAGGTGTTCCGATGCGGGGATCAGCAGAAACTTGGGGTTTT